CATCTTCGGAACACAAATTAAGATATTTGTGATTAAATCTGAGAGCTGGATCACTCCTCCATAGGCTTCTATGGGATCGAAACTTGCCAGAAAGTTATTAAAGACATTGTTAAAATAGTCCGAGTGACTACAGCGGCTCAACCTTAAGATTATCAAGCGACGAGATACTTTCTGTGCGCAAAAAACAAACAAAAATAACGACTTTATTCAACTCTTCATCTTCTTCTCTGTGGGCCTCCAGATTTCACGTAGTGTAACAGCGCAGCGCTTCGGGGTTGTTCAACAACCAATGTAATAAAACGTTGCCAGATTCACGTTCATCTGTTTCGAATCAAAATATACGTGCTTTTAGTGCCCCTCAATGGATATTTGACTTTGAAAGTGTCGCAAAATTTTCAAGCTAGGAATGCACCTGTATGAACATTTTAGCCGATAACCGATAATTCTTTATATTTGAGAGCCGATAACCGATATATTGGCCGATAAATCTAAATCCAAATTTTTTATTAATTTTTGAGAGCCTGATTACAAAAACAAAAGTCTCATCATGTCCCAAACACACAATTATAATGTTCTTATTATAATTTCATGTAGCCGATATGACAGACTTGCGCTGCACATGTTGCACTTTACTGTATTTTCCTTTTTTTTGAAGTGATTTCAATCATATTTCAAGCAATTTAAAACCATCATGTTGAACAGTGCGCATCTGAAGTGTCTCAGCTGAAGGAAATAAAACATTATTTATCAGCTTTAATATATCAGCCAAATTTTATTATTGGGCCGATAACATTAAAAATGTTCATATATCGGCCGATACCGATATGGTGGCCGATATATCGTGCATCCCTAGGTCAAGCAACTTAATCATTTTGCATATGATATTGAGTTTTATGGCATCAAAAAAGTTTTCATTACAGTGGTAAATAAATATGGTCTTTAAAGTCAACATGAAATAAAATGTAAATAATATTTGGTATTATTGTGCATGGTTCATTGTTTTGTTATTGTAAGGAAGAAAATGTCTTTCATAAAATGTAATAGCCGATCCTCGGCCTCAGAAACAACTTAACTTTTTTGAGTTCAGAAATGCATCACATTATGTGAATTATTAATGGCATAGGTAGACTTGCGTACGTCCGTCTGCCAGAAGCTAGTTATTTTAGTCAATAAAGTTTTAAATATGGATATTTTTCTTACTCTAATCTATGGCTTTGCTTCAGAAGACCTTTATTAACCCTTGGAGCCTGTGGAGCACTTTAATGATGGATAGATGCACTTTTTTGATGGATAGATGCACTTTAATGATGGATAGATGCACTTTAATGATGGACAGATGCACTTATGATGGATAGATGCACTTTTATGATGGACAGATGCACTTATGATGGATAGATGCACTTTTATGATGGACAGATGCACTTATGATGGATAGATGCACTTTTATGATGGACAGATGCACTTATGATGGACAGATGCACTTATGATGGATAGATGCACTTTTATGATGGATAGATGCACTTTTATGATGGACAGATGCACTTATGATGGACAGATGCACTTTTATCATGGATAGATGCATTTTTATCATGGATAGATGCACTTTAATGATGAATAGATGCACTTTAATGATGGACAGATGCACTTTTATGATGGACAGATGCACTTTTATGATGGACAGATGCACTTTTATCATGGATAGATGCATTTTTATCATGGATAGATGCACTTTAATGATGAATAGATGCACTTTTATGATGGACAGATGCACTTTTATGATGGATAGATGCACTTTTATGATGGACAGATGCACTTTTATTAGGGATGTCCCGATACCACTTTTTCACTTCCGATACCGATACCGATGCCGCAGCTTTGGCTTTTGCCGATACCGATATTGATCCGATATTTTTATTTTATTCTTAAACTAATAAAAAATATAGCAATTTTCTCAATTAGCCACCTAAAATATACCTCCTATATAGTCCACAACAACAGTTGATTATGAAAGATTGCCACCCTTTATTCAAACACTACAAAAAAATAAAGAAATATATAAATGAAAGAAAATACAGATACTTCAGTACTTAAAGCTAGCTAGCTACCAACAGGTTTAAAGTTAAAACAATTTAAACAGCAGCATTCTACATTGTAAATACCAGTACAGTTTTTGTTTTTTAAATCAAGTAGAATTTCTATAACTGTGTTAAACTGATTATCACTCTTGTGTGTGTTAAACACAATCTACTTAATACAGACAGCTTCATTATAAAGATAAACAACAAATCCCCAAAATATATGATCATAATCTATTAGTGGATAATACACATTGCTCTTCTTATTGTTGTAAAATACATTCATGAAAAACAAGGGTAACAAAAATGAAAAAGATAATTATTTTAGATATAGCTAAATCTGCTATAAAATTGAGACATGTTTTAAGTGTATTGCACAGCTATTTAATGAGGCAGCAACATTAATAATTATTAATGTTAATAAGCTTTAATTGCGTCACTGCATTATGATATGAAAGGCTTCAATACAGTGCGGCACAAAGCGCGTATGCGCATCCCGAGCGGAGAATGATGCGCTTGAAGCCACGTGGAGTTACAGCACGCAGCGCCAGCGCGTCGAGTCCGCTTTGAAAAGTTCAAAGCACAACGGAGATACATATTGATGGACAGTGTATTATACAGTATCTATCTATGCAATCGTTTATTGAGCCTTTTCTTTTAACAGTTTTAAATTTTAGTTACTGTGCGCGTGAAGAACAATTATAGTGCTCTGACTCTAGTGTTGTGATCAAACCCTATGGATCAAACCGACAGCGTCCGACACCCGGTAGAGAGTAACACGATTGAGTTACAGCAATAAAGTCCAGCAAGATAAAGTTGTTATATGCGAAAACATAGACCTTTATCTTATCAAGTATAATAGTATTAACATTGAATCATCTTGAAGATAGTTTCATCATTGACTGTAACCGAACGCGACGCGCTGTTTGAATGTGAATGGAGAATGACTGACAGCCGCGAGAGGGAAAAGTTTACGTGATCTTGAATTTAATGACTTAAATATTAATTTCTCTCTCACATAATGGCTTCAGAACACTTATAATAGAGTGCACGAAAACGTTATGGTACTTTAGAATGTTTTTGTGCCTTTTGTGGGGCTTAACAATAACACATAATAGTATACCCACAATATCGGATTTGGATCGGCCTCGTCTGATCGATACCCGATCCCGCAAAAATGGCAGTATCGGAGCCGATACCGATCCTGAGTATCGGATCGGGACATCCCTAACTTTTATGGTGGATAGATGCACTTTTACGATGGACAGATGCACTTTTATGATGGATAGATGCACTTTTATGATGGATAGATGCACTTTTATGATGGACAGATGCACTTTTATGGTGGATAGATGCACTTTTATGATGGATAGATGCACTTTTATGATGGATAGATGCACTTTTATGATGGACAGATGCACTTTTATGATGGATAGATGCACTTTTATGATGGACAGATGCACTTTTATGGTGGATAGATGCACTTTTACGATGGACAGATGCACTTTTATGATGGATAGATGCACTTTTATGATGGATAGATGCACTTTTATGATGGACAGATGCACTTTTATGATGGATAGATGCACTTTAATGATGAATAGATGCACTTTTATGATGGACAGATGCACTTTTATGATGGATAGATGCACTTTTATGATGGATAGATGCACTTTTATGATGGATAGATGCACTTTTATGATGGATAGATGCACTTTTACGATGGACAGATGCACTTTTATGATGGATAGATGCACTTTTATGATGGATAGATGCACTTTTATGATGGACAGATGCACTTTTATGATGGATAGATGCACTTTTATGATGGACAGATGCACTTTTATGGTGGATAGATGCACTTTTACGATGGACAGATGCACTTTTATGATGGACAGATGCACTTTTATGATGGATAGATGCACTTTTATGATGGACAGATGCACTTTTATGATGGACAGATGCACTTTTATCATGGATAGATGCATTTTTATCATGGATAGATGCACTTTAATGATGAATAGATGCACTTTTATGATGGACAGATGCACTTTTATGATGGATAGATGCACTTTTATGATGGATAGATGCACTTTTATGATGGATAGATGCATTTTTATCATGGATAGATGCACTTTAATGATGAATAGATGCACTTTTATGATGAATAGATGCACTTTTATGATGAATAGATGCACTTTTATGATGAATAGATGCACTTTTATCATGGATAGATGCACTTTTATGATGGATAGATGCACTTGTATGGACTAAAAAAGAAAAAGAAAAAAAGTTGCCATTCACTGCCATTATAAAGCTTGGAAGAGCCAGGACATTTTTTAATATAACTCTGATTGTATTCGTCTGAAAGAAGAGTGTCATATACACCTAGGATGGCTTCAGGCCGAGTAAGTCATGGGCTAATTTTAATTTTTGGGTGAAATATCCCAGTTTAAGTTCATGAAAATGATTTCTGAACATTATTTTATATAAAATATATATATTAGTTATATTGAACTCCTAAAACTGCTAGAATCGAGCCAAAAATGTATGCAGTTGGCATTAACACAGGCAACATGACCAAAAAACAAAACTGAAAAAGACAAAAATATCCATAAGGATGCACAAGGGTTCAAGTTCAATCTGGCTTTTGCACCATAAAAACACAAAGTACAAATTCCCTTAATAAACTCTGTCATGCATTGGTCGACCGTGAGACACAGATTATGTGTAATCCTGGCCTACATTTCATTTTACCGTAGTTACAGCTTAATCTGGATTTGACAAGCTGGCTCCCGATGCTTTTTGGGGAAGAACCGTCCTGTTTTTCTCTTAATATTTAATGGCAATGCGGTTCCCATCAGCCACCTGGCAGAATAAAGAGCCACCATTCATGTGTTTTACTGTACGCTTCTCTCTGGGCAGTTGGAGGCGGACGGTAAGAGTTCACAGGACAGTTTGGAAACCCATTGGACCGACTCCAGTAAGGTAGCCGTCCGATAATCCTGCCGTAATCTTCATGGCAGCCGCAGTAGTGTGCAGTGTGTAGTGTGCAGTGTGTAGTGTGCAGTGTGCAGTGTGCAGTGTGTAGTGTGTAGTGTGTTATGTTTGGCTTGTCTCCACATCCATGATAGTGAAGTGTTTCTTTGCATTCATAGCCCATAGTCCACAAACTGCTGCCTGCAACCATCTATTAGGATGTAACATATAAACCATATAAACATAACAACAAGTAAAATATAAACATAACATCTATTAGCATGTAACATATAAACCAATCATACGGACTCACAAATGATGTCAGTCTCCCTGGTAAAGGTTCAGGTTGGGTTGCATTCAGCATGTGTGTGGTTGATGTTATCGCTTGCAATGTAGCCAAAGGAATATTCCTGGTTAATTTCAACGTCTATAACTTCTAAACATTAAATAGGAAACATGGAACGGGTCTTTATATGGTGCTTTTGTTTCATTTGTGAAGCTTTTTTAAATCTCTATTCTTTGTATTGAAAAAAAATTAACAGTGAAATTCTAGTAAACGATAACCTGGAATATTTCTTTAATTTTGTATGTTAATTATTAAAGCATCAAATCATGTGTTTTTTTTTGTTTGTTTTTGTATGTCTGTTTTTTTTCTTCACTTTTTTTCTCAATTACGGACCTTTCAGTCATTATTTATGTAGTTAAAAGCTCAGTTGAATATACAAAATGGAGACTAAAAATGTTTTGTTTGCATTATATATAATATAATAATCTTTCTAAATGGATCTGCATGCAGCATGTCTGTCCTCCGTACGGTATCATGATGTGCTGATGATGACTTGAATCATTGTGTTAATCTTCATGAGTCCCATTTAGCACATATGTGCAGTTGATGACTATTTATTTATTAATACTTACTACGACTCAGTGCAAATCGATGGCTTATGCCACCTGGGTTTGTTTTCAGGAAAATTCCTTCCTCAGATATCAGACCTATTATTATTTTATTGGACTCTCCTGGGTATAATACAAGTAGAATGCTCTTTTATGAAGTTATTTCACTTAAGGACTTATTTGATAAGATTATGCCTGAAAAGTTTTTGGATTTTTTATCATATGTTAATTGAAAAAAAAAAAAACTTGGTTTTATTGTATTTATATGATATTTCTATTTTTGTAATTTAATTTTTTGCCATGTAAATTGCCTTAAATGCTGACATGGCATAAATAAATCAATCTATCTATCTATTGTGATCAGGATGAACTCTCTGGCGCTGGTCGGGGACGATCCAAACCCGAGTCTGACGAGCTCATGGTGTCGGTGGAGGAGGAGGCCGAGGGTCCGCACGGGAACATGGACTCGAGGAACGCCACAGCAGACAGACTGACGAACATCAGCGTACAGGAGGCGAAGGCATCAGAGACGTCGTCCACAGGTGAATCCAGAGCTGCGTCTCAATCCGCCCACTCATACTACGCCCTGAAAGTATGTACTTTTAAAATATGTACTACTAAAAAGTAGATGCTTTTGAGTAGATGCACCTTCATTTATACAGCGCTTTTAACAATATGGATTGTTTCAAAGCAGCTTTACAGTAGGCGCGTTTCCATAGAGAGCCTTGGGACCTTGTTTCGGAAAAGATATGTATGGTAGTCACTTATCTTTTTATTCCGTCTGAACTGTGCCCTGAATTACACATGGGATGATTGTCAATTTAACACTAGAAGTGCCAGAATTCCATAACTACTAGAACTGCCACAAGCGGTCATTTTGACCGTTAGATTGCAAACCACATATCTTTAATGATAAATACCCAATTGAGAGATTAATGCATTTGTTGTATTAGGATATCTTTTAAAAACAAAACCAAACTGTACATTTTAAAAAAGTTTAATTATATCAGTGGCCCGTAATTATCGCATAGGGCCTATTCACAACAGAGCTATATTTCCATATCCCTTCAATATAACTCAGAACAAGATAATAACAACTAAAAGTATCTTATTTAGATATTCTTTTGACAGTGAGAGAGACAATGTCATGGTTTATGAATTCGCTGTCTCCTTTCTCGTCTTGTTGTGTGTGTGTGTGTGTGTGTGTGCGTGGTCGATGATCAATGCAGCTGATCAGCACGTGCGCTCTGATCAACGCGCCAGCTGCAACTGATCAGCGATTCGACCCTTTTCAGTGTTACTGTTCTCGCCTAGTCTTTGTCAGATCGTTGTGGATTTTTCCTGCGTGTTTGTTCCCTGCCTGTATCCGTTTTCCGTGTGTCATCCCGTGTTCAGCACTCCTGGTTCAGCACTCACTCCAGCGTCCCTGTGCTGCCAAGGGCTTCATACCGGACATTTGCACACCTTAACTCTCCCAGCATCTGACCAGCTCTCAATAAACATATCTGTCATTTTGCAATTGAATCTTCTGATTATTTCCTAATAGACAAAGGTCAACCTCGAGAAATGTAACAAAAGAATACCGTGAAATTCAGTGCGGTCAATATGACCGTCTATGGCCGAAATAGGTAAATATGTTCATTTGTTTGTTTGCCTTATGTGTAATTTATATTAAAAACATTTTAAATGAAAATACAGACACTTTTAGGAAAAGTCAGGTACCAGCAGGATTTTATTTATTTTTTCAACAAAGTTATTGCAGATATAAAATTCAAAACGGTCAAAATGACCGTCGTGGCCGTTCTAGTGTTAAAAGATAATTCTGAAAGTCAAGAAAGTCGCAGTTTGTCATGAAACAGAAGAGTAACATTTAGTTGTATGTGAAAATCGCTCAATGAACTACATCTCCCGGGAAGCGAAACAACGAGCGAGATCCGCTGCTCGTGTGTGTGTGCAGTCTGGTACAAAACACTCGATGACGGCGTAATGTTACGATTATAACGTAAAAAATGTCTTCATGTAACTCGACACCCTCGCCTCATTTAGTATGCGTGGCTCTATGAATATGCAAATGAGCCCCGCCTCCACTCACTCCCTCAGCTCAGAGATCCACTGGTTGACGATCACACGTTGATCTGATTGGTTACAAGGTCGTTTGTGACGTCAGAAACACCAGCGATGATTTCAAACCGTGTTTTTGAGACTGTCTTTTCATGTGTTTTACCTTTTATACTCCCATAAATGGGATTGTGCATCACGTAAATTGAATGCCAGGCCCCTTTTATAAACAAACTGCATTTGATGAATCTGCACCCAAAACTTAGTCTCATATGCATGATGATTTTAAGACCTTTTGAAAACCCCTAACTGGTGTTTTTGCACTCAGATCACAGTGAGAACGCAGAGCGGTCGGAGGTCCAGGCGATCATCGAGTCCACACCAGAACTGGACATGGACCTGAGCGGATGCAAAGGCTCCAGGTGCGTCAATGCTGATTCAATCATCCACTCACTGGACTTGCCTTATCAGTGCAAACACACTACGCCTGCACCTTGGAACCTATTGTAGGTTTCGTTCTCGAGAACCAATCACTGCTGTCGTGTGAATGAGCGGCCGGAGCGCGTTAAGGTTTTCTGTCGTGTAAGTTAATAACTATCTTTGCAACGGAAGTGAATCAATCAAAACTAACTTTATCTGGACAATAACTTTATTCTAGAGCTGTTGTAAAGACAAAACAATGTTACTGTAATCTCCTGTTATCACTGTAAAGCTGCTGTGAAACTCTATATTGTTAAAGCGCTGTATAAATGAAGGAGACTCGACACTCTGGATTTCATCTGGACGTTATTAGACGAAGAAGCTTTCCGTGTCTCGTGTCCGTTCATGTTCTCTGTCTCTCTCCAGCACTCCCAGTAAAGGCATCGAGAACATGGCGTTCGACCGCAACACCGACTCGCTCTTCGAGGAGCTCTCGTCTGCAGGAAATGACCTCATAGGAGACGTGGATGAAGGTGCTGATCTGCTGGGTGAGTTTTCAGTCACAATAATAATTCACAAATGAAAATCAGTGTTATTTTAGTTGTAGTTTTTATTAATATTTTCAATTAGATTTTATTTATTTTTTTATACAGGTGAAACTCGAAAAATTCGAATATGGTGCAAAAGTTCATTTATTTCAGTAATTCAACTTTAAAAAAGGTGAAACTAATATATTATATAGACTCATTACATGCAAAGTGAGATATTTCAAGCCTTTATTTGTTATAATTTTGATGATTATGGCTTACAGCTTATGAAAACCCTAAATTCAAAATTAGAATATTGTGAAAAGGTTTTCATAAGCCATAATCATCAAAATTATAACAAATAAAGGCTTGAAATATCTCACTTTGCATGTAATGAGTCTATATAATATATTAGTTCCACCTTTTAAGTTGAATTACTGACATAAATGAACTTTTGCATGATATTCAAATTTTTCGAGTTTCACCTGTATTTAATTATAAATTATAATTTAAATAATTTATTTAAAATAATATAATTAAAAATGTATTATAAATTTTATTATATTTTAGTTAAAGTTGTTGAATTTTTTTGGGTGATTAAAAAAAAAATCTTTCTTTTATCCTTTTTTTATTTTTTAATGATTTCTTATCTCCGTTTTTTTATTTTTTTTTTATTTTCAGTGAATGAGAACTGAGGCTGTCAAGCTCAAAATAACAAAAAAGCATCATAAAAGTGGTACAAATTGAAATAACATGCGGTAACTTACAGTAGCTTTGGATGAAGAACGGATTGAGTTGTTTAGTAATCACATTTCTTTCCATCCGATTTGTGAATGAATTGCTCTTTTGAACTGGATCTTATTGATAAATTAGTTCTTACAATTGACAGAGCCGGCCTGAATGATTAAATGAATCAAACTGATCCACTATCAGTGAATAATGATTTAGCTCAGTTATCGTATGACTAATATTAAAGTGCTTTTGTTTTTAAAAGCACATGATTCAAAGCTTCTTCTTTTGAGTTTCATGATTCATGACTGTGTGTTTGAATGTGTGTGTGTGAGACTGTCGTTCCTGTATCTTTTTCCTTTTTGTGTTATTTTCCTCTAGTAGTAAAGACATCAGTGACTTTTATTCATCTTCTAATTTAATCACTAACATTCACTGCTCATCTAATCATGTCGTCTTTCCTCCATGTTTGTGGCGCTTCATTTCTTTCCCCCAGACGAGTATTCTGGTGTGTATGTTTACACTGCTCTTATTCTCGTACACATATCCTCACCAGGGGCAATGCCACAACTTTACAGCAACAACTAGCGTGTCCGTCCACACATTAGCGAAGCTTCATACAAGATATTGTGGAGGATCATATTTGATGCATCATATGCTCATATAGTGAGAACATGGAAGAAAAAACAGCTCAATTTTATTCAGAGACTGTGCAAAAATATTAAATTTGCTGCAGATGCTCATATTTATATAGACAAAAAGTGATGAAATTCTGATGCTTGTAATGTAAATCAGTTAATTCTTTATAACAGTAAAGCAGATACTGACATAAAATGCATATAAATATCAATATCTGCCAATAATGTCTTAGTAAGATGATAAATGCTTTGTTTTATGATCAAAGCTAAGTTTTAAAACATATAATGCAATGCAATGATTGAGAGATGAACAAATAAACCTTCTTTAAAAGCCTGATGATCATATTTGAGAAAAAATGATGTCTGAATAATCAAGAAAAACTGCTTCAGTCCAGTTGAAATATTACTAACAATATTAAAGTTATGATTACTTGATAAAAATCAGTGCAGATTTCGCAGCAGAACGACACTGAAGGTTTTTACAGTTACTTTAACAGGCTTTTACTTGCTAAAAAAGTCTAAACTATCAGTAAATTGTGTCCAACAACAGCTTTATCAGCAAAGTTATGATCATATAATGGCCTTAGAAATGTGCGACCCAAATATGATACAGTAGACTTTATAGGGTTCAGATAAATTACGTGGAATAAAGAGCTTTTGTTGCGTGTTTTGCTCCTGGTTAGGATACAGTGTTGGACCCGCTATTAATTTAAATTTCACTTGATTTTTTGTTTTGGTCATTCACTGATCCTTTTTCTTGTTCTTTGGTTTGCATGCCAATTTTAGACCTTAATTTCTTTGGTAAGCATGATTTCATATTCTCTGGTAAAGTGTTCTGTCTCAGAAATGGTCAAATCAGCATTTGTGGGGTTTTCAGAGATCTGTGCATGATTACCGTATTTATATATATTTGTGTAAAATGAAATCTGTTTTATGTTGTTGTCATGCAGGTATGGGTCGTGAAGTCGAACATCTGATCCATGAGAACACTCAGCTACTGGAGACAAAGTAAGTCATATAATGTGGATTTAGTTTTCTGACTTACACACCAGCTGAAAAACACAAAACAATCTGCGTTTAGTGTGTATTTCCTCTGAATGCAATGCTTCTACTGCCACCTGCTGTTTTACAGGAATTACAGCAATCATTTCAACTGGACTCTAAAGTCAAAATGTTTTTAAACGAGTCATATTAAAAATAAATCCTATTAAAATACCATTTTATTAAAACAAAACGGTATGGTACTACATATTGCAATTTAAACAGCCAGTAAGTAACCTCACAAATTAGCGTTTTTAACATTTGCTTTCACAAGTACTCAATTTTTGGTTCAGTTCAATTTAACCCTCTAGGCGCCACAGTCGAGTTTACTCGGCAAGATGCGGCACTGAATAAAACGTCCGATTTTGTCAAAATGGGTGTCAAATTTCGTTCGACCTCCCCTCCACTGGATGGCAGACATGTCATACTTCATCCCAACTCAAAAAAACATCATGCTTCTATACAAAATGTTTGAGTTAGAGCGCATTGAATCAGTGCGATCAAAAGCGGAGCTAGTGTGCGAGTGAGCCATTTTATCAGAACCTCTCCGCAATCGCGGCGACAGTATTGTGGTGGAGACTTTATCTAATACCACTGGGTATGTTAGACGAGGTCGAAGTATCCATAGGACAGTTAGGGGGCGACGTGGAGGCAGGGTGAGGAGTCACAATGACAGCAGTCCGAGCTGTGCACACTCAATATGGCCGCGCTGCTCATCATCTCACTCATGATCTGGGCCTTGCCGTGGCGAGTGAGCGCTTGAACTAAACAGGTCTTGTCTACTTGTGTTTGTATGTCATATGAATAATATATATGTGCCCCATACATGGAATCAGAGTGCCTACTGTATTTAGTAAATGGAAAATCTCTACAGCAAAAAGCCAACCACTACATGCATTCGGTGTGTTTCTACCATTTATTAGTAATGATTTACACAGTTTGTTTGCTACTTACTATATACCCGAGCATTCAGTATTGTGCAGTATAGCATACAGAAGGTGATGGACATTTTGGGGGGACAGAAGTGCTGCATTTTATCATTTAAACATGTGACTTTTCATGAAAATTCTACAATCCAAGATTGCCGCCACCATATGATGTCATAATATGCAAATTAGATGGGAAAACGTAATCCCTACATAAACTTTGGGTCATCCTTAATATTTCTCTAATTTACAGAAAGTCTCTATCTTTTATCACTTTTAAGATATAGCCTTTTGAAATTAAGAATCCGTTTTAGGAAAAAACCTCTGGCGCCTAAAGGGTTAATGTGACAAAGTAATAATGGCAGTTTAGTGGATCAAATGTTAATTCGGTAAGTCGTTAAACCAATTTGCATTCATAACTCATTAGTTTAAGACTGATTTGTGAGTCTTTGAATGATTCATTAAAAATAACTGGTTTATAACAGTCCGATATCACTGGATGTTTATTGTCTGTCTTATATAATCGGTAAGAACAGAGCAATGGAAATGTTTAATGTCTTTGTAAAGAGAAACTATGATGTTTTTTTTTTTTCTTTAGTGCCTCAACTGTAGTCTTGAGTTTCTCCCGGGAACGAACACGTCACCATATTCCTCATTATAATAATTAATGTGCAGAATAAAGGGGCGGGGCCTGGTTGAGTTAGTTAGTAGTGTGTTAAACTGGCGGTTATGGTAATTAGGGGCGGGGCATTTCCCAAACACACTCGAAGCGCTCGACCAATCACAGCACACTGCCCCAGCCGACCAATCAGAGCACAGTGTGCTTTCAGAAGGAGGGGCTTCATAGAGACAGGAAGTAAACAGAGCGTTACTGACAGACTGGGAAGAGAGGAGCCGCAACAATGGAGAATATGAGGAGAATAATCAACATTCAAGCAGGAAAACCTGCTCTAGTAGAGCCTGAAAACATCATTAAGACTTTGTAAAAGGGCGTAATAGATCGTCTTTGTAATATTTCACAGTATGCCGTTTTCTCAACACATTAAATTCAAACAGCAAACTCATAACTTATACTGTGGATTTTGCCTTGTGAAACACACATTGCAGGAACGCTCTGAATGTGGTGAAGAATGATCTGATCGCTCGTGTGGATGAGCTGGTGTGCGAGAAAGACGTTCTTCAGGGAGAACTGGAGGTCCTGAAACACACCAAAGACAAACTGGAGGAGAGGAACAAAGAGCTGGAGGACGAGCTCAAGCGGTTCGTCATTAAACACACTGACACACATCAGCTTTCAGCCGGAGAGAAGCTCTTTCTGACTGAAGCTTTTGTGCTTTTGTCCAAACAGAGTCCGAGCTGAGACTGAGGAAGCTAAAGTGAAGACGAAGGAGGACGATGATGTAAGTCGACGTTAGAAATCTGTCTGGGTTGGGATTGCAGATCTGTTAGACGACTCACGGTTCGATAAAACATTTTTTGGAGGAAGTCGAAAACAATTCTAAATGCATCTGATTTTTTCATTCAAAATTATCCTTGTTCAATTCCACTGGGACAAATTCCCACCACATTAATATAATATTATAAAATGAACAGTATAAGGTAAATTACTTTTAACCTCAAAGTATTTTCTCATCAACTGAAACTACGAGAATAGAATTCTATATTAAAAACAATAGACACGAAAAAATTGGGATACAGCTGCACTGTAAAACAAAACAATTAATAGTTCATAAGTGTATTAACTATTGTACTTTACAGTTGTGAATTTATAATACTTTTTACTTAATTTCTTCTCTTGCAAGAGTTAAAACCTTTGCGCTTTAGGATTTTATCATCAACTGAAACTTTGCTGTCTGAGAGTGGGATTCTGTAGTAATAATAATAATATCTAATACAGAAATATTATAATTGTAACACAACTGCACTGTAAAATACTTCTGACTTGATTTCTTCACTTTTAAGAGTGAAAACTGTAGGAAGACGTTTATGAGTAACAGGTTTACAAACACTGCTCATTACAAAGCCAGTAATTTTTTGTCCACAGAAACTAAATTATGCAAATTATAAAATAGTGTATCTTATAATCACATTGTATTCCCAAAACAGCTCGTCTTTGCTTCCCTATTGTGTCGTATATCCGAGGGAAACAAGAGCAAATGTGGGCGGGGCTTGATTGTGTCTGTGTGGAGTTGATTGGATGGGTGTGGTTTGCTATTGGCTGATCGCATGTGATTGACAGGTTAAAGCCCCACCCACATCATCAGAGAAGAGATGCTGCAAGTTATTTTAGATTTATGATTACAAGGCACAATAATGATGTGCACAGATAAATCATGTATAATAAACACTTAATACAGGTAAAACTCGAAAAATTTGAATATCGTTTATTTCAGTAATTCAACTAATATATTATATAGACTCATTACATGCAAAGTGAGATTTTTCAAGCCTTTATTTGTTATAATTGTGATGATTATGGCTTACAGCTTATGAAAACCTTTTCACAATATTCTAATTTTGAAGCTGAAGCTGTAAGCCATAATCATCACAATTATAACAAATAAAGGCTTGAAAAATCTCACTTTGCATGTAATGAGTCTATATAATATATCAGTTTCACCTTTTAATTTGAATTACTGAAATAAATGAACTTTTGCACCATATTCTAATTTTTCGAGTTTCACCCGTATGTCATGTATAATGTCAGTTTTGATTTCATGGTGACTTTAAACTCCGTTTAATTGATTCGTATGGTAAAATGCTCTCTCAAACGATGAGTTTTTAGCACTGACATGCCGTGTGTCCCTCAGAGCGACGTGCCGACGGCCCAGCGCAAGCGCTTCACACGGGTGGAGATGGCTCGAGTCCTGATGGAGAGGAACCAGTATAAGGAGCGTCTGATGGAGTTGCAGGAGGCCGTCCGGTGGACCGAGATGATCCGGTCAGTCTCGCTCATCTCCAATCAACACTAGGCTTGGGAATCCAAAATCAATTCTGGAATCGGATACTTGTTAAAAAATTTAAATTTCGATTCCTCTCATCGATTCCTTTGTACAAATTTCAATATGACTTTAGACAATTAAAGCGCAAGACGACTCATATGGAGTACCAAACCTATAAAAACGCGAAGAAATGAATAAATAAATAAATGTGGGAAAATATAATTATACATAAATAGGGAAATGAAAGTATAAATGGTCTTTCTTTTTTTTTTCTTTCTTTTTTTACATTTATTTATTTATTTCCACTTTTATTTATGTATATATGCATTCATGTCTACATTTATTTATAAATGTATTTATATTTATTTATACATATTTATAAATAAATGTAGACGTAAATGCATATATACATAAATAAAAGTGGAAATAAATAAATGTGGGAAAATATATAATTATACATAAATAGGGAAATAAAAGTATAAATGGTCATCTTTTTTTTTACATTTATTTATTTATTTCCACTTTTATTTATGTATATATGCATTCATGTCTACATTTATTTATTTATAAATTTATTTATACATATTTATAAATAAATACAAATAAATGTAGACGTAAATGCATATATTCATAAATAAAAGTGAAAATAAATAAAAGTGGAAATAAATAAATGCATAAATAAATGAAAAAATAAATAAATGTGGGAAAATATATAATTATACATAAATAGGGAAATAAAAGTATAAATGGTCATTTTTGTTTGTTTTTTTACATTTATTTATTTATTTATTTCCACTTTTATTTATGTATATATGCATTCATGTCTACATTTATTTATTTATAAATTTATTTATATTTATTTATACATATTTATAAATAAATGTAGACGTAAATGCATATGTACATAAATAAAAGTGGAAATAAATAAATCCATAAATAAATGAAAAAATAAATAAATGTGGGAAAATATATAATTATACATAAATAGGGAAATAAAAGTATAAATGGTCTTTTTTTTTTACATTTATTTATTTATTTCCACTTTTATTTATGTATATATGCATTCATGTCTACATTCATTTATTTATAAATTTATTTATACATATTTATAAATAAATGTAGACGTAAATGCATATAGACATAAATAAAAGTGAAAATAAATAAAAGTGGAAATAAATAAATGCATCAATAAATGAAAAAATAAATAAATGTGGGAAAATATATAATTATACATAAATAGGGAAATAAAAATATAATTGGTCATTTTTTGCTTTGTTTTTTTTACATTTATTTTTTTATTTCCACTTTTATTTATGTATATATGCATTCATGTCTACATTTATTTATTTATAAATTTATTTATACATATTTATAAATAAATACAAATAAATGTAGAAGTAAATGCATATATACATAAATAAAAGTGAAAATAAATAAAAGTGGAAATAAATAAATGCATAAATAAATGAAAAAATAAATAAATGTATGAAAATATATAATTATACATAAATAGGGAAATAAACGTTTTTTTGTTCTGTTTTTTTTACATTTCTTCGCTTATTTATTCATTTTTAACTTTTATAGGTTTGGTCCTCCATAGACTCGCGCGCTATTTTATGTGCTGCACATATATTCAAAACGTGCTCACAGAAAAAGTGATTTTAATGTGATTTTAACCCTTTCAAGCACGAGACGCGCTGTTTTCTGTGCTGTAGGCGTATGCAGCTATATTAACTCTTAAAGTGACAGCACTGATATTCCTGCTGCCGTCTCTATAATAACACTAATCAAACAACAAAAGAGACAGAGAAAATTCACTCATTCTTGACCGAATGACTATATTTGTAATGTATATTTAATTTATAAACTGCAGTGTTGTTATAGTTTTTGTACCTGAAAATCTTGCAGACTGGTTGCGATTGCTAGTTTTTTATTTGTTCTTTTTTGAATTACTGAGAGTGTTTACTTGTCTTTAATAATGCTTGACATTTATATTAGTTAGGTTAGTTGTTTTTCTATGGTATTTTTAATTGGCAGAATTCTTTAGCCTGTTTGTTTGTGTTCATGATATTCAGCTACAATTAAATGTTTTGCAATAAGACTAAATGTGAATGATATCCACGTGTTTTTGTTTTTTACCTTATTGGAATCGAAATTAGGAACCGTTAAGAATCGAAATTGGAATCGAAATCGTTAAAATTGACAGATCCCCAACCCTAATCAACACCTACTCCCAAACTGGTGTGCCTTTGCTGGTTTGCATCGACTGAAGTGTGTTTTTGTTGTTCGATTCAGAGCATCGAGAGAGAATCCAGCCTTGTCGGAGAAGAAAAAGTCCAGTATCTGGCAGTTGTAAGCAACAACTTCATCTTCTCCTCAAAGTTTGCTGTTATATTGTTTTTTGTGTGGTTTGGATCTCATTTTATGTCCCCCTTTTATTTGTTTTCCTTCTAGGATGTAGGTAAACTTAGAAAACCTAGTAAAACTTGCACTTGGTTTGATCCTTAAATCCAAAAATGTGTTCTGGGAATGGGGTTGTTTTTTAAGCTTTAACTGAAGCATAACAGGAATTTGCTTTAAACTTCACGGGACTAATGCTTGAGCGTTCATTACACTTACTTTTAAAGGGTTTGGCAGAAAGCAGCTTGTTCTCTTCATTGAAATGCCGTTCTCAGGTCATCTCAGTCTACTCGGGGTTTTGCGTTTGGGGGCATTTAAGGTTTTGCATCTATTTTAAACCCATTCATTCTCCTCTTGTGTGCTCCTGTGTGTTCTCTGTGCTCATGTTGTCCTGTGTGTTTGCAGAAGGTGTGTTGGGACGCAGCGCATTAGTCCGATATGTTTAGGTTTTGAGTTAGAGCTGCACGATTAATCGTTAAAAGACCACAATCTATTCATTCCTCAATGACTATGATTCTGCTCTGTGTATTAAAGGAGTAGTTGATAGTTTACTCTCCCGCACATCATCCAAGATGTTCACGTCTGTCTTTCTTCAGTCGAAAAGAAATTAAGTTTTTAAGGAAAACATTCCAGGATTTCTCCATATAGTGACTTCAATGGGGTCCAACGGGTCCAGATGTGAGTTTCAGTGCAGCTTCAAAGTCTCGACACGATCCAGCCGAGGAATAAGAGTCTGATCTAGACAAACCAGTCGACATTTATAACAAAATACACATTTATATACTTTTAACCACAAATGCTCGTCTTGCGCGAGCTGTGATGCGACACACGTTACGTATTAATACAAAAAAAATCATGATTCTCAATTTATTCAGAATCGTGCAGCTCTATTTGGACCAGTTGATTCCTAAAGCCTTTAGAATTAAGATTATTTATTTGCACAAAAACAGAGCGGGGGAGCATGAGCAAAATAGCAATTACATTTTTAATATGAGTGTTAAAGTTTTAAAAAATTTGAAGAAAAAAAAAAATCTGGAATTTCATATTTTCGGAAATAACTATAATATACACGCTACTGTTCAAAAGATTGTGGTCCGTAAGATAAAAAAATAAATAAAAATTTTGATAGATGTTCCAAGGCTGCATTTATTTGAGCAAAAATACAGTAAAAACAGTGAAATATTATTAGAATTTAAAATAACTGTTTTCTATGTGTTTATTCTCAGTGTTGAAAACAGTTGTGCTGATTCATATTTCAGTGTAAACAAATATTTTCTTGATTAATAAAGTGAGAGTGAATAACACCATATATTTGGAGAGAAAAAAAATTGTTTTGATCAATTTCACGCATCCTCGCTGAATGAAATAATTAAAAAATGACTTACTGACCCCAATCTTTTGACCTTTAGTGTATTTAATATATATATATATATATTAGAGAAGGTGTGTTTGCAGTGGTTCAGCATGTGGTGCTGTCTGTACACTGTGATCGTGGTTAGACCGGGTCGGTTGGGTTTCGCAGAGCTTGGCACATGTTTGGGACGTGACCCCAGAACCCCATAACGGTTAACCTTTGACCTCTAACCCCTGCTGCCGCTTGTGTCCGCATATGAGTCTGTGTGTCGTCTCTCTCCTCTCCCTCGTGCCCCAGTTTCAGCAGACTCTTCAGCTCCTCGTCCGGCGCCGCGGCGAAGAAGCCCGACGCCCCGGTGAACCTGAAGTACAACGCTCCCACCGCACACATCGTCCCGTCCGTGAAGAAGAGGAGCAGCACCATCGCTCAACTCCCCAGCGACAAATCCAAAGCCTTCGACTTCCTCAACGAGGAGTGAGAGACGTCCTCACACACTTCACACACATGCGTGTCATGGCGTCTCGGCCTGGGTCCAGAATTTACACATTAGCAAGGCCCAAATCTGTTCTTTTGCGCACACGCCGCTCGTTATCCGATATCTCTGCAAGTGCTGTGAGCTTGAGTGGCTTATAACATGCATCTTGCCAAATCTGCAATAAGAGTCGTTTATAAATCTGTTCTCAGCGAAAGAGACGGTCTCGCTAGTGTTCCCACATATAAGCTCTCTAGTTTAACTTTTGAAAGCAATGAAATTAAGAGCCGTAAATATTAGTTTTGTATAGTATAATAGTATCGTATTTCAGATACTAAAACATTAAGTTTTTATTATTTAAATAATAAAATAAATTTTTTTAAAAGTAATAATAACCATTTTATTTTATTTTACAGAACAATAGTATTATTGCCATTGTATTTCTTTCTTTATTTGTTAATTTTTATCATTTAAATAATAAAATAAAAAATATTGTTTACCATAATAACATTATTATTAATAATACATGCTATTAATACATGTTTTTATTCTAAAGTACAATAGCATTATTTTTTTATTGATTTAAGTTTCTGCTATTTAAATATTAAAATAAAACTATTAATTTTAATATTAATAACATTTTTATTTTATTTTATGGCAGAATAGTATTATTGCCATTTTATTTATTTATTGATCTTTAGTTTTTTATCATTTTAATTATATTGTTTTCAATAATAATGACAATAATAACAATTATTATCATAAATAATAGTTATATTTTTATTATATAGTACAATAGTATATTGCAACATATTTCTTTATTGATTTGTTTAATGTTTAGAATTAAATTAATAATAAAATGACATTTTTTAAATCTATTTTAATAATAGTAATAATACTTGTCATTGTATTTCTTCCTTGATTTGTTTATTTTTTTATAATTTGAATATATAAAACAAAAATATTGTTTTCAATAATAATAATAATTATTATTATGATTAATAAATGCGATTAATATTTGTACAGTACAATAGTATTATATTTCTTTATTGATTTAATTTTAGAATTTAAATAATAATAAAAGAAATTATTTTAATAATAATAATAAAACGTGTTTTTTTATAGTACAATTGTATTAATGGGGTTGTAATATTGATTTGTTTAATTTTTATTTATTTAAATAATGATGAAACAAATATGTTGTACAAATAATGACTACATTACAAATAATACTCATTATAATTATTATTATTATTGTTGTCATTGAATAGTCATATGGAATGTTTTTTTTTTGGTTCTGGTGTGTTAAGTTTCTCTCTCCGTGTGTGTGTGTGTGTGTGTGTGTGTGTGTGTGTGTGTGTGTGTGTGTGTGTGTGTGTGTGTGTGTGTGTGTGTGTGTGTGTGTGTGTGTGTGTGTAGGGCTGAGGTGGAGAGTGTGGTGTCCCGTCGAGAGCAGAAGAGAGCTCAGTACCGGCAGGTGAAGGATCACGTGCAGAAAGAGGACGGCCGGTTACAGGCGTGCGGATGGAGTTTACCTCCCAAACACAAGGTAACATCTCAAACACACTCTCTGTGTCACACTGCGCTTCCAGTCTCACACGCGTTTTCCAAAACTTTTGCGATATTTTCTAAATGTCGATAAAAATCATATTGCAAATAGTTTCCATTAACCGATGTTATGTGACTAAAACATATTTTTTTCCTCTCGCGATCAGTCTTTACAGAAATCATGGTAACGGATGTTGGTAGGTTTATATATATCAGCCACCGCACTAGCCATTATTATTAAAGGGTTTGTTCACCCAAAAATGAAAATTACTCTCCCTCATGTTGTTCAACCCCGTAAGACTGTCGTTAATCTTCAGAACACAAATTAAGATATTCCTGATTAAATCTGAGAGCTGGATCACTCCTCCATAGGCTTCTATTGTAGTTGAAACTTGCCAGGCCAGAAAGTTATTAAAGACATACTTCGTCACACGCATCACACACATGACCAGCGTCGGCCAATAGTGAGCCTACATTCTGACGTACAACCCAGAAGCGCTGCGCTGTTAAGGCCTGTTCACACTGGGACGCCGACGTTTAACAGCTCATGACTAAACAAAGGGCGCCAATGTGAGTGTGCACACCGACACGAAAAACGCCACGCGCAAAAGCGTCATTTTTTTAAAAACGCCTCGGGTTCGTTTTTTTAGTTTGACGCGCCGCGTCAGAAACTATCCGACCAATGAGATTGCCGCTTTTGCTCACGTGTCTGGAGCTTCTGAAGTTACAGTAAAACACAACTTGGGGGCGCTCAAACACAAAACGGTCTTGCCGAGCACACATACGCAACGGCGAAGAAGATATACGCCAAGTAGTGTCTACACTTCCGGGAAGAAATAAGACGAGGAAGCTGCAAGGCAAGATGAATGTAGAGCTGCTGGTCTCGTTGGTGTCGGAACATGAAGAACTATATGACAAACGCGACAGCGACTACATCTAAATCTTGATAAAAGAGAATGTTATGGAGTGGTATTGCAGAGCAAATGGGCGCCATCTAATGTCAGGGAATGAATTTGCATGTTCACTCGGCTCATCGTCAGCGAAAATCGCTTGGGTGTGAACACAAAAAACGCGTTGAAAAGTAGGGATGTCCCGATCCGATCACGTGGTTTCAGACTCGATCGGAATCGGAGGTTACCTTCCGATCAGGACTCGGATATATGTAAATTAGGGGTGTAACGGTACATGTATTCGTATTGAACTGTTTTGGTACGAGGCTTCCGGTTCGGTACGCATACACACCGAACGATTCCTAGGACCATTTTTCCTGCCGACAAAATCCGCGCTGGCGCGATCACCACAACGTTGCGCAACATCAAATGGCAAGCGTAATGAAAGCGGAACGAAACTGCGCTTCTCATTATATTGTGCTTAACGGACCATTATCAGTTCGGACCAGCAACATCTGTGCAGCGCGAGATCAAGCGACACTGTGCTAAGAGATCCAGGGAAGAAAACATTTGAGTTCGCCACTGAAGTAATAACATCGCTGCGAGATCTAGTGAGAAGCATTCAAATGTCTCCCTTATTAACCATAGATCTCTATTAGATCAAACAGCGCTGACGTGGAAACCAGGAGAAACATTGTGCCGTGAATAAACATGGATTTAATGTTGCACTTCAAAACTCAAATATTATATAAATATATATTTAAATGTTATTTTTAATGTGATTACCAAAACATTATTTGTTAATCCTTCAAAGATTACCCCCATTTATAAACCTGAAAGTTTCAAGATGTAGGAAAACTCTAACTTATTTAAAAATAGTTTTTCTTTTAACAAATAGGAAATTTCTCTGGCATTTCTTTCTTTTTGCTGTATCGTATCGAACCGAACCGCAAATTTTGTGAACTGTTACACCCCTAATGTATGTATATATATATATATATATTCTCATTATTTTTTTATACACTTTTAAAACATTTTTATTTTTTGTTTACATGCCTGCCGGGTATTTTAAGTTGAGGTGCTATTTGTTTTTATATTAGACTTTTTCTATATTTACTGTTGCACTAAAGTCCAAAAGTGAAGATTTGATGTTATTTATTACTTGATTGTTCAAGCTACCTCACAGAAGTGCTCTGTTTGTTAACAGAGTTGTTGAATGTTAAAATAAGGTGAATTAAATAAAAAAATAAGGAAAATCCTGGATCTGTTTTTTCTCTCTTCTTTATTATTTTTTTATGTATTATATAAGTATCGGATCGGGACTCGGTATCGATAGATACTCAAAATCAAATGACTCGGACTCGAGGGCAAAAAAAACTGATCGGGACATCCCTATTGAAAAGCGCTGGCGAATAACGCACGCCGATATTCGTCCCGGTGTGTACGAGCCTTTACACTACGCGAACTCACCCGAGGCCCACAGAGAAGGAGATTCGAGTTAAATAAAGTCGTTATTTTTGTTTGTTTTTTGCGCACAAAAAGTATCTCGCCGCTTGATAATCTTAAGGTTGAGCCGCTGTAGTCACTCGGACTATTTTAACGGTGTCTTTAATAACTTTCTGGCCAGTTTCGATCCCTTAGAAGCCTATGGAGGAGTGATCCAGCTCTCAGACTTAATCACAAATATCTTAATTTGTGTTCTGAAGATGAACGAAAGTCTTACAGTCTTGAACAACATGAGGGAGAGTCATTACTGACAGAGTTTACATGTTTGGGTGATCTATCCCTTTAACGGAAGGAGACGTAAGTGAGTTTTCCAAGCATCAATGGCAAGGAAAGAGCCTTATACTGTGAACGGTGTTTCCCTCAAATCTGCTTCAAGCTCTGTATAAATTGTGGCATTTCTTTGTTGTATAGAATCCAGTATTCCCGTAATACTTTTGTCTTTTATGAGTTTAATAAAGAACTCGCTCTCGTCTTCTTAAAGAAACACACCGCGCTTCTTTAAAGAATGATCGACTGTTACGTACGTCAGGTGACCTGTAAATGCAAAAAACAAAGAACGAAATATTCCTTTTTCGACTTGCCTGAAAAACCACCTCATGAGTGTTTGCGAAATTGATTTGTATTTTCAATTTGCGCAGTTTGAAGGGTAATGGAAACGCGGATACTGAGATAATATTGTTATTGTGCTTTTTCTCTATATAGTTTTTATTAATTTTATTTCAGTTTTAGTTATTGTAGTGCATTTACGTTGGCTAATAGCTCAGTTTACTTTTTTATATTGTATTTCAGTGTACATTTATTTTATTTCAAGTAATGAAAAATGTTTGTTTTTGTTGTTGTTTATGGTTTTAGTAAACTATAATAGCCCTGCTGTGATCAGACATAAACTTCTATCATGCGTATTGTGAGAAAGCAAGAATCCCAATAAAAGGTTGCCTATAAATATAAAAAAGTTCATATTTTTGTTATAGCCGCCATTTTGTGTTTTTAAAGGTTGCCAATGGTGGACAAGCGGAGAACAGGATAAAGAATCTGCCGGTTCCCGTGTACCTGCGGCCCTTAGATGAGAAAGACGCTTCCATGAAGGTGAGCCTGTTCCCGTCTGGTTCCTGTTCTCCGGTTACTCTCGTGGTTTGACCGTGTGTGTGTGTGTGTGTGTGTGTGTGTGTGTGTGTAGCTGTGGTGCGCTGCAGGAGTGAATCTGTCAGGTGGTAAGACTCGTGACGGAGGCTCCATCGTGGGAGCGAGTGTGTTTTATAAAGACGTGTCTGGAGACGAGAGCGAATCCGTCGGCCTCCGGAGGAAGAAGAGAGGATCTCAGAGCAGCCTCGACCGACTCGAGCAGGAACTCACGGTGAGCAGACACACACTCACTCACACACATGATCACACACTCACACACTCACACTCACACACACACACACACACACATGATCACACACTCACACACACACACACACACACACACACACACTCACTCACACACATGATCACACACTCACACACACACACTCACACTCACACACACACACACACACACACATGATCACACACTCACACACACACACACACACACACACACATGATCACACACTCACTCACACACATGATCACACACTCACACATGATCACACACACACACACACACATAACACACGATCACACACACACACACACACACACACACACACAAACACACACACACACACACACACACGAACACACACATGATCACACACACACACACACACACACACACACACACACACACACACATGATCACACACACACATGATCACACACGCACACACACACATGATCACACACACACACACACATGATCACACACACACACACACACACACATGATCACACACACACACACACACATGATCACACACACACACACACACACACACACACACACATGATCACACACACACACACATGATCACACATGATCACACACACACACACACGATCACACACACACACACACACACACACACACTCACTCACACACACTCACACACACACACACATGATCACACACACACACACACACACACACACACACACACATGATCTCACACACACACACACACACACACACACACACACACACACACTCACTCACACACACTCACACACACACACTCTCACACACACTCTCTCACACACACACACACTCTCTCACACACTCTCTCACACACTCTCTCACACACAATCACAACAACAACACAGTCTAGGGCTGTGCAGCGATTAATCGGCTCCGCATGTCGCGTGTGTGTGTGTGTGTGTGTGTGTGTGTGCAGGAGCAGGAGAAGGAGCTGAAGCATCAGGATGAGCTCTCCAGCCTGGTGTGGATCTGCACCACAACACACGCCACCTCAAAGGTCATCGTGATCGACGCCAACCAGCCCGGAAACGTCCTGGAGAGCTTCTTCGTCTGTAACTCTCACGTGTTGTGCATCGCCAGCGTTCCAGGTCAGAGGACGCCTCCGCTTCGGCCCACTGAGGCCGTACTCATGATCTCCACCGGGGCTGGCAGATGAAAATTAGAATTTCGAAAATTCGTCGAATTTAAAATAAAAAACTGCACATTCGAATGCAAAACACGTGCATTCAAATTTTTGGTGTCAAGAGGCGCGCGAGACATGCTGATGACATCACTGACGCGGTTTGTTTTTGTTAGCTTATCCCGTATACAGCGCTGCGTTGTTCATTTAAAAAATGGTGAAGAAAACTCTCTCAGTTGGTGGCAAAAATCGTGCAACGACATACTTGACCAAACCTGCACATCGTGTGTGAGTGTGTGAGTGTGTGTGTGAGTGTGTGTTCATCAGCAGGACACACTTGATAAACAATATATAGATGTAGCGAGTAGAAGTGGAGTGTTTCTGAATGTCTGTTGTGTGTTCGTGTAGTTCATTACGCGTCTCTCGAAGCGTGTTTCCTCAGGTTACTGATGCACAAACACAGGTTTATGCACTCTTGTAACCTAATTTTCCTTGCATGCACATTAAGGAAATTATATTTGATTTAAGAAAAATTGTTTTCAAATTTAATGCATGTTAAAAAAAGTGAATTTCATTTCAATAAAAGATGAAATGCTTGATTTGGTTTATATTTGCTTATTGCACTCTCTTGCGCCCTCTTGTGGGCATAGGAGACAACACAGCACCTTTTCCCCCTGTAACATTAAAGTCCCTGTAAAGGCAATTTCAAAAAAAAATTCTAAACACATTATAAATGTTACAAATGTATTGCTAAAACATATTACAAAGACTGTGAACTGTGAAGTACTGAATTGTGGAGTCAGACCGTTAAACAGTTTTTCACCATTGCTATTTTCCGGATTTTCTGGGCGGGGCTAAAACGGGGCTCGATGACGCACTGGAGCCCCTGAGCTCCTGGACACGCCCCTACTTGATGACGCACTAAAGCCGCTGAGGCTGGCCGCTCCTAACAATATTATAGAGCACATTCACATCAGTTTGCCGCTCATTCGCGAGTTACTGTCAGTACTATTATTAGTAACGGCCTACAGATTGCTAGCTAGCTATGCCTTTGTCACGGAAATGCGTTACGTTACTACCTGGATGCGATCACCGGATCAGTACAAAACAGATCGGTGTCCTTATTTACATTTCTGAAAAATGATTACATCAAGAAGAAGTGGATTAATTTTGTGAAGAGCCACCTTGATGGAGAGCTGAGGATCACCGCCAACACCCGCCTCTGTAAGTGATCATTTTACACGGGATAGTTTTATAAACTTTCATCAGAGACAACTGGGATTCACTGATAATCCGCTGTTACTGGTGAATGGGGCGAACCGACTCCCGCCTCGGCCATCATCCTCCCGTCGCGCCGACAACTGGTGCCATCATCGGCAGTGCGTGCCCACCGTGCGAGCATCCATTCCGGCTGTAGAGTTGAGTGTGGCGACGGCAGCTTTCCCGCGAGTGGGCGTGGTTTCAGCGCAGCCAGCGGACACGCCCCCAGCGTTTGAGAGCAGAGATTACTGCTCATTTTTTCAAGATTTTGATAGCTTATTTTATGTACTTGCTGGCGTTTTTTATCATTCAAATTTTTATCATTCAAATTTGGCTGGGTGACTAATAACACATTTTTCTGTGGTGTGACAAACTCAGAACACATACTTAATTTTGACTCTACAGGGACTTTAAGTAGTGACGTTAGAATTCAAATAAATAAATAAATAATAATATTTAAGAAAAAAATTCGAATTTAGCTTTTCAGCCATTTTGACAGCCCTAGTCTCCACAGATGCGTTTGATCTGAACGGGTTCTGTGTGTGTGTGTGTATGTGTCAGGTGCTCGTGAGACGGATTACCCCGTTGGAGAGGACCTGAGCGCTGATGGTGAGGGTGAAGGAGCGTGTGAACTCAGCTGTACAGACAGCACTGTGTCCACGGGGCCTGACGGGGGTCTGGAGGGCATCACTGTCGTCGACTGCTCCACTGACGGACCCGTGGCCATCCCTCAAACCGTCTGCAACAACTCCACAGAGTCCTCCAACTCTGGTAACTCAGAAAAAACACCCAAAAACACACTTTTACGTTCTTCGCTTAGGGGTTTAAAGAAGTTGGGAAATACACTACCAGTCAAAAATTTTGGATCAGTAAGATTTTTAATGATTTTTAAAAGAAGTCTCTTCTGCTCACCATGGGTCTCATTCATGAAACATTCGTAAATATACGAGTAAATATGCGAGTGATTTGCGCGTGAAGAGACCTTCCCGAAAACTCTTCTCCTGATTCACAAATACTTCGTAAACGTCAGATGTGATAGTGAAATGTGTGTGTGTGTTCATTAATTCCAATCAGGCGTAAATGGGACGCTCATTCTTAATTACCATAAATCCCGCCCATTAAATCCGACTGACAACTATATATGGGCATCATATTATGACATGAATGCGAATGAAAAAAAAAATTTTCTCAGATGGAGAAATTGAAGTTTTATTATCAGAAGTTCATTCAAAACGCCACATTTTATTTTCAAGCGTACATAGTGGCGTATCGGGTCCTAAAAAAAGAGGAAGCTTGGCAGCATATTACAGATGCAGTTAAAGGCACACTGTGGAATTTTTGGCCACTAGGGTGCGCTCGACCTGTAATTTTCACGTCTAGTGCCCCTAGAGGCCACAAGCGCCGCAGCATTGTCGCAAAAGTCAACAAACAGTCAACCGGTCAACCTCCCGTGTCTTTATGTGTGTGCAGACGGCATTTGATTTGTATGTTGGAGAAAGTTAATCGATTCACTACTGACCAAAATAATAATATAAATATAAGATTAATAATATAAATCCTATAAAGAAAACAAATTGAATAAAAGTAGCATACGCAGAAAACAATGTCTGATCAGGTAAGTCGCATTGACAAGGGTTGCCCAATCCTGCTCCTGCCGATCGTCTGTCCTGCACAGTTCATCTCCAACCCTAATCAAACACACCTGAAGCAAACAATTAACGTCTTCAGGATCTCTTTGCAATGGGTTGGAGATGAAATCGAGTAACAAAACTGATATAACTCACTACATATTTCCGTTTGTAATCTTCAGTTTGTTTTTCCTTTTACACAAATACAAACATATATGAGCTGAAAGGGAAAAAAAACATTTACATTTGTATACGGCAGTATGTTGTGACTTATATCAGTTTTGTTACACGAATTCGCAGTAAATATTACATTATATATACACTTTTATGCCGATGTTTATTTTAAACTCTCCCTTTTTCTTTTTTTGGTCTCCTCTGACAAAATCTTTGCTTTCTTCGCTTTCTTCCGAGTAGCTGTTGATTCAGCCATGACGACAACATACAGACGCCGGCAATCAAACGCGAGTTGAGCTCTCACGTTAGAATTTGAGGAAGTTGGGGTGGTGGGGGAAGTGACGTATGCCGTAAAGCGGTCGAATTTTGTAGTTCTTTTTGTGCTCGGGTTCCTACCCGAAACCCGAAGTTACATAGTGCTAGTAAAAGCGATACAGACACCTTCAGGCTTTGGCAGACGTGTCATTCAACCTATTGTAAGTCGATGTACCATCTCAATGGGTTTTGGTAATATATTATAAAGGTTAAAAAGTTCCACAGTGTGCCTTTAATGGAGTTTATCTGTTAATCGAACATTCTCAGAAGTGAGAAGAAAATGGTTCGACATTAAGCTTGAGAGCAAAAAACGAATTAGTTCACTTCGGAAAAATAGTATTCAAACTGGAGAAGGACCACCATCGCAGATGCTATTACTGGCTCTCATAATAAGAAAAACTGTATGTAATTACTATATATAATATTTTTTCAAAATGCTGTGCAAATATGTACCTGATTAAGGTGAATTAAATGCAGCCTTAGTTATTAATGAGCCGTTCGGGTGTTAAGCGCACTATTTACGCGTGGCTGGGAGCAGGTGTAGATTTCTTGTGTACCAACTAACATTTGGAAAATATGAACATTTTAATGAATCCGAAAATTTACGCCAGAACCACTTTACACACGATTTACACACAAATTCGTTCTGCTCGTGTTTCATGAATGAGACCCCATACCTGCATTTATTTGATTAGAAATACAAAAAAAAAAATCTATGTGAATTTATGTGTAATTTATTCCTGTGATCAAAGCTGAATTTTCAGCATCATTACTCCCACAGGGCTTGACATTAACTTTTTTGCTCACCAGCCACTGTGGCTAGTGGTTTTCCAAAGTTACTAGCCACTCAGCATTTTCACTGGCCACAATTTGGACACCGATACCATAGGGGAATAACTACCATATAGATATTTTTAACATTATCTCATGATTTGGCAGGAGGTATATTAGGTTACTGTCACTTTAAGACCTGACGCACGGGTCCATTATACAGTTACACGTGCGTTTTCTTTCTCAACTGTTTAGGTTCACTTCTAATAACTGATTGTGTTTGTGTATCTCTCAGCGGATGAGGTTTTGGGTCAGCGCAGGCCGGACGCAGTGCCGTCAGCAGAAGAAGCTCTGGAGGCCACAGAGAGCAGCACTAGCACGCCTGTAGACGAGAGCCAGACCGGCATCTACACCGAACACGTGTTCACCGACCCGCTGGGAGTGCAGAACAGCAGAGACACGCCGTCCAGCTACACACAGAGGTCATACAGAGCACTTCATGTCTCGATCAGTGATGGGGGAAACTCATTACAAGTCAAGCTTTATTTATAGAGCACACGTTTTAAGGGCTGGTTGATTATGATTTCACTTTTCTAACTGTAGTTGGTGTGTAACATTGCTGTTTGAGCATAAACAACATCTGTAAAGTTTTGACGCTCAAAGTTCAAAGCAAAGGGAAATAGCTTTTTAAAGGATTAGTTCACTTTAAAAAAACTTTTGCTGATAGTTTACTCTCCCGCACGTCATCCAAGATGTCCATGTCTTTCTTTCTTCAGTCGAAAAGAAATGAAGGTTTTGATGAAAACATTCCAGGATTTTTCTCCATTATGATGGACTTCAATGGGGTCCAAACGATTCAAGGTCCAAATGACAGTTTCAGTGCAGCTTCAAAGGGCTTTAAACGATACCAGACGATGAATAAGGGTCTTATCTAGCGAAACGATCGGTCATTTCAAAAATAAATAAAATGATGCGTGTTCGTGACGTCACGTAATACACAATTACGTTGAAAAGGTCTCGCATAACAGAGCAAGGCGAGCATTTGTGCCTATAAAACTTATACTTTTTTATTCGTTTTGCTAGTTAAGACCCTTATTCATCGTCTGGTATCGTTTAAAGCCCTTTGAAGCTGCACTGAAACTGTCATTTGGACCTTGAACCGTTTGGACCCCATTGAAGTCCATTATATGGAGAACAATCCTGAAATGTTTTCATCAAAACCTTTCTATTCTTTTCGAATGAAGAAAGAAACACATGGACATCTTGGATGACGTGCGGGAGAGTAAACTATCAGCAAAAGTTTTTTTAAAAGTGAACTAATCCTTTAAGGACTACAACAAACGGCTGGTAGGAACTACACGACATTCCTCCCGTGTTAGTGACATCACCAACCCTAAAATTTACATAAACCCCGCCCACGGGAACGCGATTTATAGGTTATCATGACAGAATATGCTAATCAATGACTAGAAGATAACTACACAAGCTACATAAATTCATCAACTAACCATTCAGAAATGTTGTCTACATGTTGTCATCTTTCTCTGACTCCGTTGTTTGAACATAAAAGGCTTAACGTTTTTGAAATTTTCAGGACACAAGCTCTTGAAGCTCCGCCCCCTATTTGCATTTAAAGGGACAGACACAAAAACTGTTTTTGCTCACCTTCAAAAAGTGACAATTTTAACATGCCAGATAAAAAAATCTGTGGGGTATTTTGAGCTGAAACTTCACATACACACTCTGGGGACATCAGAGATTTTACATCTTGGGAAAAGGGCATTATAGGACCCCTTTAACACAACTTTTGTCTGTGAGTGTAGCGCTCAGATATTATTATTATCTGTAACGCTCTGGTTCTGTAGGGAGTGTGACCTGGTGAAGGATGGCGTCTGCTCAATGTCTGAGGAACAGGACCTCATGAGAGAAGAAGCCAGCAAGATGAGCAGCGTTCTGCCTACCATGTGGCTCGGCGCTCAGAACGGCTGGTGAGTCCACAAACCCTCACTCGGTAGGGCTTTTCACACTTCAAGTAGTCAAGTTTATTAATAAAGCACATTTAAAAACAGCTCGTTTTTGAGACTGTCTTTGGTTCACTGCAAAACTCAGCAATGGTGTCGACTTATGAATTTGCACATGGTTTGTATTAAAGCATATTAAAAACACCACATAGACATATAAACAACATTTAAAAACTGGATTTTCACCACAGGGGACTTTAATGTAAAATAAAAATTTAACTTCGAAAACAAAACAATACAGATAAATACTAGGGCTGTCAATCGATTAAAATTTTTAATCTAATTAATTACATACTCTGTAATTAATTAATCTAAATTAATCGCATACACAATCTTACAATGTTTACATGGTACAATTTCTGGTAAGCTACGTTTTTATTATTATTGCTTGACACAAATTTCACGATTTCAATTTAATTTAATTCTTGTGATTTGATGCAATATTGACTCATTTGGATAAATATTAGGTACATAAGATAGGCATTCATTTTTCTCAAGAAAAAAAAAATCTCACCCAATGCTGTAAAATACAGAGAGCCATATCAGCGGGTAGTATTTAAGGTTAAAAATAGCTCAAATTAAATATAATGCGTGTTTATTACAAATAACAACTTTGATAAGTAAAAATATAATACATATGTAATATAGTAGTAGGCTACATAAATTTAGAAAAAACACTCTCTATAGCTCTTTTTTATAGCCAACTATAACGTGCTATCATATGGTCATGCAATGGCTTTCCTGAGGTAACTTATAGGCTAAATGTTATGTGACATAATTGTTCTCCAGCTGTTTTATTGACCTCTTTTCGCGGTTGAAAAACACTGATTGATCGAGGAATATACATTTCGGTAAGTTTTAGGCTGCCCTACTGTATCTTTCAACATTGTTCATTCGTGTTTATACTATTAGCTAGAGATGATCGGTTCACGTGCCGCTATGGGATCTGTTATGACTCATGTCACATTTACAAGCGCCAACGGTATTTATTGTTCGATTTTCGTAATAAAATTGACAGAATCTGAGAGCTGAGATTTTTTTAATATCATAAGTAACGTGCTCTGTCTTGTCTGTTTCCGTGTCCTCTCTTTGGTGCGCGATTTTTCTGTACGTGAGAAAATGGTTGTGTGACGTGAGAGCGCGTGAAAAGTTACAACACACACACACACAAGCGCGCTTTCTCTCAGACACACTCACCGACTCACGCACACACTCCTGGATGCTTTGCATTGATGTGGTACTTTAGAGTTGACGAACTCCGTTTGTTATAAGTAAATGTTCCAAACAATGATCCAAGCAGCGCGTTCTTGTCTCCCTCCTTTTTACACGAATGGTGGCTACGGCTAGAACGGCTCCGCAAAGGTCAAAACGGAATGGATTAATCTGCGTTATTTTTTTTAACGCGTTATTTCTTCTCAGATTAATTAATCGAAATTAACGCGTTATTTTGACAGCCCTAATAAATACACAAAAAAAACATGCAAAAAACAAATATAGACCTTGGAAATTTAAATATATAAATATACGAACACACACACACACACACACATACATTGTACATCTCCACATCCTATTCATATTCTTATCCATATTCTACGTGTTAGTGCAAAGAATTGAAAGAATGTTATTGGCAAAATAACATTTTATTGTTGTTGTTTTTTTAAATGCTCAAAAAAAATGACAGTAAAATATTGCAATATTAGTATAAATATTTTTTTTGGTATTTTTTTTTATTTAGTACTTCTACTAATAGTATTATTATTATTTTATAGCCATATCGATCTACAATCTCAACATTTTAGCCAAATTGTACAGCCCTAAAAACAAGAAAAGCAAATCACAATCGTTGTTTATATCAGAAAACCACAATTTTTTCCGCCAATTGTTCAGCCCTATTTAAGAGTCCCTAAAAATATTCAGGTTAAAGGTTGATAAATATGCTTATTTTTCCCAATTACTCTTAATTTCTGCCTAAAATATTTAATCGGTTAGTTTGCAAGTAAACTCTTATGCAAGTAAAACTTACTCTCAAGCTCAGTTCAAAAAATCTTTGTGAATGATTGCTCAGTGAATCGATCAGAATCAAAAGTGATTTTTAAACACCCTTATCCAGTAATAGCAAACAGCCGGAAGGTCATGAAGTGCATCGACTGAGAACAGAGATGTATTGAGTGTTTTCTTCTGTTTCAGCGTGTACGTTCACTCATCTGTAGCGCAGTGGAGAAAGTGCCTTCACTCCATCAAGCTGAAGGATTCTGTCCTGGGGATTGTGTAAGGAAACGTCATCATCTGGATTCATTTACATGGTTATAAACTCATTGATATACATTATTATTTCTGGTTTCCCTCTGTGAAGTCACGTGAAAGGACGTGTTCTGGTGGCCTTGGCTGATGGCACGCTTGCAATCTTCCACAGAGGAGTTGGTAAGACTATTTTTTAAAAATAAAACTAATGCAGATTTGAATTACCATCAGTAAAACATGACAACATTTGCTTTCACTAATACTACATACACAGGTGAAACTCGGAAAATTTGAATATCGTGCAAAAGTTCATTTATTCAACTTAAAAGGTGAAACTAATATATTATATAGACTCATTACATCCAAAGTGAGATATTTCAAGCCTTTATTTGTTATAATTGTGATGATTATGGCTTACAGCTTATGAAAACCCCAAATTCATTGTGAAAAGGTTTTCATAAGCTGTAAGCCATAATCATCACAATTATAACAAATAAAGGCTTGAAATATCTCACTTTGCATGTAATGAGTCTATATAATATATTAGTTTCACCAAGTTGAATTACTGAAATAAATGAACTTTTGCACCATATTCTAATTTTTCCAGTTTCACCTGTACAGTAAAACAAAAGTGATGATGTCCGGAGGGGGTGACCCTAAAAGTTTGAAAAAAACATCAAAATATGAGGAAGAAAAAATCTAAATATAAGGGAAGAACGAAACAGTAAACTTGGTTAAGGTGTTAATCTTGCAAAATTATTTAGCAAAAAATGCATCTTTTGGCATTTTACTATGCAATAAAATGCATAGAAAAGCAGAAAGCTCACTTGACTACAACATAATCGGTTATTAATTCATATATGAATCAAGATTCAATCTTTCACAAATTTCGAAAATCGATTTTCTAAAGTGTTTCACTTCTTTAACTTCACAGTACTAGTTAAAGTTACTTAGTTATTGACGTTAATCACAATAAGCTGCGAACAAGGACTCGCACTGACGGACACACAGAAGCAAATTACTAACAATAGGACGATAAAATTCTAAAAATAAAATAAAATTGCCTTGATTTATTACAGAATACTGTGTATAATGATTGCAGTCAGCTTAAAGGCCATTTTTTAAAATAATATTTGCTTGACTAAAATGGGAAAATGGGAAGAAAAACTAAATTAATTTCAAGGTTCACATTTAATTCAGTAGGATTATTTTCTTCTTCTAGACATGTTAAACTATCTACCCCCAGTCAAATAAGAAAAGTAACACAAAACGGTAAACTACACTCAAATATATGAACATATCGAATCGAAATTTGATTCAAAATCGAGAATCGTGACATACCAAAGGTACCAAAAGATTCCCACCCCTAGTTATTAATATTTATTGGTTCCCTCTAGTTTTTGCGTGTTTAGAATTTCTGTCCAAAAATGATGTCGCACAATTTGTCATGTTTCATTGCGTTATTATCACAAATAAAGCAACTGATTCGATGCACAACTTCTAAATCTTTAATAATGTTTGAGGGTAGGGTTGGCCGGACATCTGCTGTATAATGTCCACCTCTTTTAATGATGTATATTTGTGTCACAGATGGCCAATGGGATTTGACCAACTATCACCTGCTGGATCTGGGCCGTCCGCATCACTCGATCCGCTGTATGACTGTAGTGCATGACAAGGTGTGGTGCGGATACAGGAACAAGATCTTTGTGGTTCAACCGAAAGCCATGAAGATAGAGGTACGACTTTTCAACGCATGCATTAAACTTATCAAAAGAATCATCAGCACAACTGTTCTCAACACTGATAATAATCATAAATGTTTCTTGAGCATCAGATCCTCATATTAGAGTGATTTCTGAAGGATCATGTGACACTGAAGACTGGAGTAATGATGCTGGAAATACAGCTTTGATCACAGGAATAAATTACACGTTACTGTATATTCACATAGAAAACAGCTGATTTACATTATAATAATATTTACTTGTATTTTTGATTAAATAAATGTAGTTTTGGTGAGCAGAAGAGTTATTTTTTATTTTTACATTTTAAAAAAATTACCGACCCCAAACTTTTAAATGATACTCTGAATTTATTATTATTATTAAAGCATGTTTTTTTAAACAATATTATTATGTTTCAAAATGAGAATGTTTTATGGCTTCATGTTTTTCATGTTTGTGGCTTACGATTCGAAATGCAAATTATTAAACGTTTCCAACTGGATGAGCTACATTTGAAGCCAGGGTAAAATGTCAATTAGGTGTCGAATTCATATCTATTAATCCAGTTCAAGCCGGCATGAAAGTGAAGTTGCGCTGGCCTTTTCTTCCCTATATTATGACGTATATCGAGTGAAACGCTTCTGGAACAAGAACAAATGTGGGCGGGGCTTGATTGTGTCCGTGTGGAATTGATTAGATGGGTGTGGTTTGCTATTGGCTGATCGCATGTGATTGACAGGTTAAAGCCCCGCCCACATCATCAGAGAAGAGAAGAGATGCTGCCAGAGGAACTGATTCTGATCCAAGATTATTAACACAATGATACTCACCGATAAAAAAAAAAAATGCAAAAAAAAAAAAATTCATGTTGCCTTAAATGGACTAGAGCGACTATAATGAACTATATTAATTGGAGGAAGAATTGTTTTGTAATGACTTTTCGGTGGCTTTTCTCATACTACAGTGTTTGAGGGCGGGGCAAAGAGACTCTGTTCAGCCAATCAAGATCACAGGCTGGCATTATGCTAATTAGTTACAAACACTCTGTCGTCTGAGTCATGAAAGCCCTTGCATGTGATTAAATCAGCGTAACACAACGCCTTCTTTCTTCCCTAATGACCAGAAATCGTTCGACGCCCATCCCCGTAAGGAGAGTCAGGTGAGACAGCTGGCGTGGGACGGGGACGGCATCTGGGTGTCTATACGCCTGGACTCGACCCTCAGGCTGTTCCACGCACACACACACCAGCATCTGCAGGACGTCGACATCGAGCCCTACGTCAGCAAGATGCTGGGTGAGACATTAGCGAGATCGTTCACACACACATGCAAATTATCTCATCTTTTGCTCATGTCGTTCCAAACCCATACGACTAATGAAGATATTCTTGCCATCTTCAGTTTTGTTTTTGATGATTTTACTTGTTAATTCAATTCACATTTATTTGTATAGTGCTTTTCACAATACACATCGTTTCAAAGCAGCTTTACAGAAAGTGCATGAGTCCACATTACAATTACAATGATCGGTTAATGCCAGCTGCATACATTTTGGCACAGGTGTGTATTTTTATTGGAATTTCAACCCCATTTCCTTTAATATATCTATTTTGCATTAGTAACACAGAATAGTTCCACTCAGGAGCTTAAGGACAAAAATGTCCCCATTAAAACTGCAATATTTAATCCCAGGGCCGTTTAACTATAAAATGTAGTTTTCGTTAATAGGCTTTCAATCTGTTGGCAAGGCTTAAAAATTTACATTTTTACAATTTTTTTTACCAGATGGTGCCATTTTCTCAGGTTTGGCCTATAAAGAAAATAAATTATGTAGCTGTAATTGTGTGTGTGTGTGTGTGTTGGTATAGACGTCAGAGTGTGGCTTGTATGAAGTGTGTGTGTGCTGTGCAATATATGAGAGAGAAAAACTTAAATCCAACCACTGTGTGACTAGTGGAGTTTCACTGACATCTAATGGGGAAACTCTGTTACTGCGCCCAAATAAAATCTCACTGAAAGCTCATTTTTTGAGATATCAACTTCAAATTTGGAACGCAACTTGTTTAAATTTATGGTTTTGATTTTCTAGCAGTTTTTGAGTTCAACATGTTTCATAAAATATATATTTTATATAAAATAATGTTCATAAACTTAAACCTCTAACTTTTTTTCACTTTTTAAATTTTTTTTTTCTTCATTAATAATCTGCCTAGTGTCTTTTTTTAAAATGAGACCAAACTTTAGTCTCAAGCTTCACATTTTTATTTGTTAATGACAGACATTTTTGTCCACTATGGATGGACCCATGTGTAACTTTTTTTTTAATTGACGCACAAAGGTTGATATGTTCGCCTAAATCTCTGATGCTTCAAAACATGGGTTTGGAATGACATGAGGGAGAGGAATAGATGGTTCACCCAAAAATGACTGCTGTAATATGTGTCGCAGGCACCGGTAAACTGGGCTTCTCTTTCGTGAGAATCACGGCGCTGACGGTTTCATGCAATCGCCTGTGGGTCGGTACCGGAAACGGCGTCATCATCTCCATCCCTCTATCAGAGAGTGAGTGCGTCAGCTAATCATGGCATCACTGTAACGTACAGTCAAAATGTATTCAGACACCTTCAACATTTCTCACATTATCACAGTTTATTCGCTATAGTGGTGATAAATATGAGCAGAACTCAGAGTTCTCAGATTAGTGGATATTTGACTGGTTTTGTCCGTCCTTCTGTTAGACTTTCACACATGAATTATGTTGAATATCTGTCAGCTGTTAAATTTAACTACACAATTAGATAATACCAGTTTAGCTCAACCAGTGACCAAGCAATGATTCAAGTTGTTCAGTGTGTGTGTAAAAAGAGCATTAGCAGTTACAGAAAACACACTTCAGCAAAACATGATCAGCTCAAAGTGTCCGAAAAATATATCACTTTATTTTGCTATCATCACTTACATAAATTAACTATAGTGTCCTGCACACACTAGTACACAAATTACATCATGTGTCTGAATAATTTTTGGTTTGATTGTACATGTCAACTTATTCTACTAACCCGAAACCTGACAGTCTACTAATACTCTAATGAGAGTTAGTTGTATTATAGTTCCTCAGGGGCCAAAAGTTTGACATTTCAACAAGTGTTTTTTTATCCTTACAACAGGAAGTAAAGATACATCAGCGTCGTCGAATCGTCCCGGCGGTGCGATCCGAGTCTACGGAGACGAGAGCAGTGATAAAGTCACGGCGGGCACGTTTGTGCCCTTCTGCTCGATGGCACACGCACAGCTGTGTTTCCACGGGCACAGAGACGCCGTCAAGTTCTTCACCGCAGTCCCAGGTGCAATAATCCACCAAACAATAGCCAAAGGTTGTCAATTTAACGCTAACACTTTACAATAAGGTTCATTAGTTAAAGGTGCAGTGTGTAAGTTTTAGCACATCTAGTGGTGAGGTTGTGAACTGCACCCAACAGAAGTTACGGTGGCCGACAGGAAGTGATGTCGTCGTCTGAGACAGCAGAGAGTAGCCAGTTAAGCTGTGAGGTTTCTTTACAAAGATAAATTAAGAAATTATGTTTACTTAATTATTCAGTAAAACGATATGTTATTGTGATTATTATTGTCACTTGTTCATTATTGTGTCAGTGTTTTATTGAAATCGCTGGTGTTTCTGACGTCACAAACGACCTTGTAACCAATCAGATCAACGTGTGATCGTCAACCAGTGGATCTCTGAGCTGAGGGAGTGAGTGGAGGCGGGGCTCATTTGCATATTCATAGAACCGCGAATAGTAAATGAGGCAAGGGTGTCGAGTTACATTCAAGATATTTTAAGGCATTAAGAATATTTTTCAAGGAAAAAACTTTTAAATATGACATTTTGGTGATCAAATATGAGTTTTAAGGGATAAAATGATTGAATACAGGGAGACTTTAAAGCAATAATTAAAGTAATAATTATTTAAAGCATTAAATAGTCTCTTCTGTGCCGAAGATGGATTTTGCTGATACTGATTTCATCTGATCGGTAAAAGCACTGTAGTGTAATTCTAATTTGAATTAACGGATTACATCTTAGAATATGACAAAAAAAAAAAGATGAAGCATAAATTTAATAAAGTTAGAAAAAAAATTGAGACAGAAATGAAAGAAAACAAAGTAGTTTTACTATATCGAATCTAAATTTGATTCAAAATCGAGAGTCATGACTCCTAGAATCGAATCACGAGACTCCAGTAATGCCCACGCCGAGTAAAGTGGTGTTTGTGCTGGTTTGCAGGTCAGGTGGTGTCGTCCACAGGCTCGGGTGTCGAGGCGAACGCTGACGAGTCTCCCACGCCCGATCTGATGAGGTCTGTGCTGGTCATGAGCGGAGGAGAGGGGTACATCGACTTCCGGATGGGTGAGGCGCATTACTGATGATTACACAAGATTCACCGCTCCATTTTGATTCACACGCTTGTGATTTGATTCAGTTCCGCCGATTTGGATAGGTTTCGAAATTAACTCTTTCAATCACCAGTCTATTTGGCTACTTAATTTTTAAGTTAACGGCAATTCAGAACTGCTACTAGCAAAAAAAAGAAGAAATGAACCAGATTAAATGCGTCTATATATACATACACAGGTGAAACTCGAACAATTAGAATATCGTCCAAAAGTTCATTTATTTCAGTAATTCAACTTAAAAGGTCAAACTACAATACCTCTTCTATATTGTTACCCTTTACTACAATACAAATTTAGTACAAAAAAATAAAGTGAAACTAATAGATTATATAGACTCATTACATGCAAAGTGAGATATTTCAAGCCTTTGTTTGTTATAATTGTGATGATTATGGCTTACAGCTTATGAAAACCTTTTCACAATATTCTAATTTTGAATTTGGGGTTTTCATAAGCTGTAAGCCGTAATGACATCACCAACCCTAAAATGTACATAAACCCCGCCCCCGGGAACGTGATTTATAGATTATCATGATAGAATATGCTAATTAATGACTACTCCACACCAGCTGCATAAACTCATCATCTAACATTCAGAAACGTCCTGTTGCTTCTACATGTCGTCACTTCTTCCTGAGTCTCTCCATCTTTGTCTGACTCTGGTTTGAACATAAAAAGCTAAAGGTTTTAAAATTTTCAGTGTGTGTGTGTGAGGTAATTGGACACAAGATCTTGAAGCTCCGCCCCCTGTGCCGGGAGCAGCAGCTCATTTACATTTAAAGGCACACACACAAAAGCGGCGTGTTTTTGCTCACACTCAAAAAGTGACACATTTAACATGCTATAAAAATATCTGTGGGGTATTTAGAGCTAAAACTTCACACACACACACTCTGGGGACATCAGAGACTTATTTTACATCTTATGAAAAGGGCATTATAGGAGCCATTTAAGAATCAAAATCAGAGAAACCCAAGCCCTGCTGATGATATTAATCACGCTTTTCCTCTCTCCGTGTCTTTCAAACTGTAGGGGATGAAGGAGGAGACACAGAAAATCTGGATGAACCCACACTGAAACTACAGCCCTTCCTGGCCAAAGCTGAGCGCAGTCACCTGATCGTGTGGCAGGTCATGGCCAATGAGGAGTGACGTCACCTGATCGTGTGGCAGGTCATGGCCAACGAGGAGTAAACCTTTCTCACTCAGTTCTGCTTTATTTAAGATGTTTTAAGCATTGGCTTATAGTATTTCTCTCATGCAAATCATGATTATCGGCGATTCTGGGGCGAAAGCACAACAGACCACAATGCACTGCATCTTGAGGTTTTCGTGTAAACGGTTTGGTTTGTGGGAAGAAAAGGTTTCACAGATTGAAAGCACTATGAGCGCTAAAGCAATATCCTCATATGAATGTCACCAAAGGACTCAGAAAAGTAGATTTTATAGTCCATTAATGGACAAATAAGCATCTAAAGGAGATTTTCTCACTGCAAGATCATGTCAAAAACTTTACGTTGTGCTCGTCCGCTGTCTTTTTTAACACTAGAGCAGTTTTAGCAGGAAAGCGATGTGTAGATAAAGAGCAGAGACAAAGGCATATTTTTATGAGACTTTTGTACGCGTCTTTTAGCCTGTAATCTGCTGACTCTGCACTGCCGTTCTGCTGGGTCTGCAGGCGTTCGTCCTCTCGCAAACTAGCCATTGCAGTATTTATTTCTACGAACCAGCATTTGCAGTTCAGAATGTAACTCTGTACATTGAATATAAATATATAAAAATACAAATATGTATATGAAACGTAGACTGCTTGATTTGATTCTTTTTTTAAACATGATTGATGATGTAAATCAGGTGGATGGATCGAGTGTGGATGGATGGCTTATAGAAATGGACCTTCAATGATCTATGCACTATTTTTTTAAGGACCGCAGGAGTGTGTGTGTGTGTGTTTAGATGAGTGTGTCTGTGCAACAGGTAGAGTGAACCGTCCCATGATGACATCAGCGTATCCCATAAATATGTCCATCCTTCTCATCTTGGCCTTAATCTATTAAACTGACATTTTTGGGGAACTTGCTGTGTTATTATTATTATGTGCAATTTACAGGATGATTTATAGATGCACATAAAATGTAGATCAAGATTGTCCTTTACTGAGAAGAATCCATAAAGCAATTCATAAATAAAGGAAAGCAAACATTACATTAAATGGTTTGTTCATTGCATCTAATGGCCCATAATGCACTGCACAACATGCAAAAAAAATACAATAAAAATGAGTATTTGGACACTTAATGTCTGGGTTTCATTGCATTAGAGAAGAAAAAAGGTTTTAGAAAGAAGTCTTGCATTCTTGACTCAATTTTAAAGAGCCATTTGTGCTAGAAAAGTTCTTCTTTTGTAATTTCGGTTCCGGAAACAAAGCCAGTGAGTTTTGGATGAGTCCGTTGAGTGAATGATTCAAATGTTTGGTTCACACTTGCATGACGACGTACCGTAACGTGCAGAAAGAATCAAATGTGGCTCAGAAAAGTGAAATTAGTTCAGAAAAAGCATTGTTTGCTGGTTTGATATTTCCTTATACGATGCAATGAATATGCAGACATTACCCGATTACATTCCACCGCACATTAAAACATTGTTTTGTATTACAGGTTTTCTGAAATGTTGTTTAAATATGCAAATGAAGCATTATCTAATTAAATATGGACTTACAGGTGAAACTCGAAAAATTAGAATATGGTGCAAAAGTTCATTTATTTCAGTAATTCAACTTAAAAGGTGAAACTAATATATTATATAGACTCATTACATGCAAAGTGAGATATTTCAAGCCTTCATTTGTTATAATTTTGCTGATTATGGATTACAGCTTATGAAAACCTTTTCACAATATTCTAACTTTGAAGCTGTAAGCCATAATCATCACAATTATAACAAATAAAGGCTTGAAATATCTCACTTTGCATGTAAGGAGTCTATATAATATATTAGTTTCACCTTTTAGGTTGAATTACTGAACTTTTGCATGATATTCAAATTTTTTGAGTTTCACCTGTATTTGTATACATTTCCAGAAGTGAAAAACACACTGGATAATAAAGCCAGGTTCATAATTCCTGATTGATTTTGTTGACAAATTAGAGTTACAGGTTCTCTTTTAACACTCTATAAATAAATGAAAATCCTGTTTTATGAATTAATAAATCAGGCGAATGACATATGACCAAACCTTCAGAATATATAGATATGAATAATACAGAAGTCTGGTGTGTGTGAAGCTGCTGGACCGGAGATTTCCGACTCAAACTCGTCGCCTTTAACGAGATGCACTGATATTGAGATCTACAGACACAAACAGGCAAAGTGTAATAAAATACACATTTGGGTGTATATTTTTTGATGTTTTCTTTCACTAGTCTGAAAGCTGTGCTTGAAAAACAAACATTGATTTGCGTAAAGTGTCCAAATATATTCTACAGTAGTCGACATTTGAAGTGGAGCAAAACCTACACACGAATTTTGAACGAAAGTTTTTTGATCCACTTTAAATGTTGACGACTGTAGTTCCTCCAATGTGAGCCAGTTGATGAACTCTGTGTGTCACAGGAGTCGGTGTGTGTGTGTGTGTGTGTGTGTGTGTGTGTGTGTGTGTGTGTGTGAGTCTCGCCACAGGAGGGCAGCAGAGAGTCACTGAATAACTGCCTTTCAAATGACATTCAGTGAGGAAGAGCTGCTCCTCCCCCTTCTGTGATTGGCTGATGGCTGAGAACAAACAGTATGTTCTCACACACACACACACACTATTGAACTTCTGAATCAGCACTCAGGCATTCAGTGACAGTGAGGGAAGCTCTGAACTCAACTGATCTAGTACTTATGAGGCGTTAACTTGCACCCTTCATGATAATAATCAGATTTTTTCTTCAAGACTGGTTAAAATCAGTTGCATAGAAAGGTAGATCAGTCTCATTTAAATCAAGAGACTGATAACCTTTGGTCAAACTAGTTTTTAAAATAGTAGTGAAAATCAAGTCTTTTAATGTTGTTTATGTGTCTGTGGTGTTTTTAATACGCTTTAAGACAAACCATGTGTAAGTTCATAAGTCGACAGCATTGCTGAAAAAAGGTTTTAGAAAGAAGTCTAGCATTCTTGACTCAATTTTAAAGAGCCATTTGTGCTAAAAAAGTTCTTCTTTTGTAATTTCGGTTCCGGAAACAAAGCCAGTGAGTTTTGGATGAGTCCGTTGAGTATTTTCTGCTTAAAACTGCAGTGAACCAAAGACAGTCTCAAAAACACGGTTTGAAATCGCTGGTGTTTCTGACGTCACAAACGACCTTGTAACCAATCAGATCAACGTGTGATCGTCAACCAGTGGATCTCTGAGCTGAGGGAGTGAGTGGAGGCGGGGCTCATTTGCATAATCATAGAACCGCGCATACTAAATGAGGCAAGGGTGTCGAGTTACATTCAAGATATTTTAAAGGAGACATATAATGAGAATCTGGCTTTCTCCGTGTGTAAGTGCTGTAATCCGGCGCTTCTACCGACACAGAAAATGTTTTAAGTGAAACTCGGTAATCTGGTGAGTCTTTCTCTGCAAGAATGTTATAAAATAAGCTGTATGAAAAGGATCTTATTATAATATTCCCGGCCCTTAATCTGCACGTTTACACACACCAGCGACATTGGGTTCGGCGAGCGCCAACAGAGACCAGTTCTAACGCACTGGAGAAGATCCAGCAAAGCCTGAAACTGTTCTGTGGTCGAGCACAGACGACACTGAACACTATTGACCAGAACATGTCAGCGCTGTCTTATAAACACCTCAGGAACTGTGGACACTTGTGGAAGAGTTCAACATGATGAGGAGATGATCAGTGTAACTCCACAACAACTACAGAAATGTCTCCGCTAACATTCAGAAACGTGTAACAGTGAAGCTCTCCCTGAGTCTCTCCGTAAGGCTGCACTCGCTGCTGTTACTCCTGACTCTGGATCAGTGAAATTGGCCTGGGTTGTTATTGCCGGAGTCTCTGAAGCTCCGCCCTCTTCTGAACAGAGGCGGAGCTAAAGCTCATTTGCATTTAAAGGAACACACACAAAAACGGGGCATTTTTGACAAGCTCTAATAAATGATCTGGTATTTTGAGCTGAAATGTTACAGACACATTCTGGGGACACCAGAGATTAAATTTACATCTTGTGAAAGGGGCGTAATATGTCCGCTTTAAGGCATGAATCATTTTTTTGTATACCATAATAAAACCATGGTTAATTTTCATAAGGGGTGGAGCTGCATTCATAACCTAATCCCGCGTCCCCAACCTCTCCTGATCTGTTCTTCCCTGGGATCTTATGTAACTCGTCCAGCTGCTGATCCGGGGATGTTCCCGGAGTGATTTCAGGATCCCTGAGGCTCCGGGACGCTCCAAAACACACCATGAGTTTAGATATATTTGATTGGTTGATTTATCAGTTGTCAATCTGTTTATAAAGCCTTTCAAACTGTCATACACATTTATATATACTGTAATTAAAACAAAAAGTCCATGCATACACTAATATGTGGTTTGGAATAATTGCATTGTATTATGTTATTAAAAGAGTTTCTTCTGCTCATCAAAAAAAAAAAAAAAAAAAGGATCATGTCACACTGAAGACTGGAGTAATGATGCGGAAAATGCAGCTTTGATCACAGGAATAAATTACACTTTATTATATATTCACATAGAAAACAGCTGATTTACATTACAATAATATTTCAGAATTTTTACTATATTTTTGATCAAATAAATCTGCTTTGGTGAGCAGAAGAGACTCTTTTAGAAACACACTTTTGAGGAGTAGTGTGTGTAACGCTTGCTGTAACTGCTCTCAACAGGGAACGGATCAAAACACGCGTGCATTTCTGCCTTCTGACGGCTATACTTTTTAAGGTTCACCTCCTGTTGGGTGTTTATGGACACTGCGTATGAAATCTGCATTAGTGTGTCTTCATCATGTGTCCAGTGAACTGAGCGAGTGCTGAAATGTGGGATTAGTGGAAGCCTCCATCTTGGCTCTGAGCCAGCGACTTCTAAATGTGGATTCTGGAAACTGGATATAGTGTGTGACCCGTCAGAGATCCTCCTCCTCTTGATCTGGTGTCAGTGATCATGTGCTTGCTCACACACACACACACACTAGACATCAGAGCGCACTAGAAATGATCTAAGGATCACCCATCAGCCTTAAAGGGGTCGTATAATGCCATTTTAATACAGGTTAATGTGATT